TGTCAGGCCATGCGCGTCTACGCCGCCGGCAGAACGGGACTCTCGACTTTCCTCACCAGCGGTACCGAAGCATCTCCTGCCCGAGGCTACCAGTCGCAGCTGTACGACAGCCCCGACGGCTACGTTATCCGGACGCGCGAGGATGCCGATGCCTTTGTCTCGTCGAGGTCTAGCGGCCCGGACCGCTCGGACTTCATCAAGGTCCCGGTCGACCCTGACTCGTTTGACGACGACATCCTCAAGACCCTCGCCGACGCTGCCCACGCCCACGGGAAGCTGATCATCGCCCGCACCGCTGGCAAGGCGTCCTATGAGCGCGCCCTGCTCGCCGGCTTCGATGTCTTTGCCCACGCGCCCCTGGATGCGCCCATTGACACCGCGCTGGCGCTCAAAATGGCGGCCAGGAACGTAATATTCGTGCCGACGCTCACCATGATGCGACGGCGCGCGTCGGCCATTGGCTCCAACGCAAACAATACTACTGCCATCTCCTCCCCAGGCCCCGACAAGACCACGGCAAATCAGGGCCCTGTCGAGCACTCCCACACCGACTTCGTTCCCGGCAGCAGCTATGATAACGCGACGCAGAGCGTGCGCACACTCCACGACGCCGGCGTCACTATCTGCGCCGGCACGATGGCGAACCCGGTCCCGGGGTCCCGGATCCCTTTTGGCGAGAGCCTGCACGAGGAGCTGCGCCTGCTGGTCGAGGCCGGCATGCCCGTGCTCCATGTACTCCGCTCGGCGACCTGCGTGGCGGCCACGGCCTTCCGGCTCAGCGACCGCGGCATAGTCCGGGGTGGCCTCCGGGCTGACCTGGTGCTCGTCGAGGGAAACCCGCTCGAGGACATTACCGCCACGAGGAAGATTAGGAAGATATGGATCCGCGGGGAGGAAATCGAGCCGTCCGCCGCGGCGGCTGAGATATGATGGACTGGATCGTATGGGTTGTCTTCTTCCAGGCGTCAAGGCGAATGAGATGAGGGAAGTGATTGGAACTTTACGGAAAAGATAACATTTAGGATCATACCCTTATCTCTTGTCAAACTTTGGAACGAATTGAAAGGCCCCCCTTGGTATACTTGTCACTGTGATCAAGTCCCCATCTGTCGTACATTATACATACTCCTGCGGGCAAATCCTCTCCCATCGTCCCGTGTAAACACAGTCATTTCCATGGAAGCCATGATAATCGTTGCCATAAGCAACCGTTGCGAAATCTCCAAGCAAGAAACGGTCAAAGCATTAACTAAACTATCTGATGTTGCAGATCTGGAATGACGATTGCAGGAACTTAAATGACATGTTCACAGACAACGCTCGAAACCGGCGTACATACGCATCTCCTACCCTACCGGTCACTGACAAAAAACTATGGGCCGAGGTGCCACACCACAATGACAGTTGTTGTTGTTGTTGTTGTTGTTGTTGTTATTGTATTTAACGCCATGGGGGCAGGGGCACGGAACCCCTGCCACGACCTCCCGAGGGGTATGAGGCGTGGAGAGCCGTAGCTCAAGCTATATACCATACAGTACATGTACCTATGCTAGCGTCCTCCAAGTCATACCTTAATGGCTATTTAACTGTCCTGCTATGTCGCTAGGCCCCGCTGGGTCACCCGGCTCAAGCTTGAATCGAAATGGCAACGAGCAGAGCTCGCTAAACTGTCTGTTGGACCTGTCCGTCACGGGTCCGTCGAATTGTAGATAGGGTCAAAGCCCTTGATTGTTTGTGGGGGTAGGAGGGTCCTTAATGGATACCTTGTTCCCGCTTGTCGGGCGGATGTTATTCATCCTATCGGGCCCTTGGTGGGCACCGTCTCTTCGTGCTGGTGGTTGGTGGCCCCGGGCCACCTATTGGTCTGGTTGGTCTCGTTGACGACGTACCTGGCCGCCGGTCCCGCATTGTTCTGGCTGGGGGAGACCGGAAGGCCCGCATACAGCGGGCCCAACCTTTGCCTGGGTGAAGCGCGACCAAAACGCTTGTGCCCGGAGCTGGAATCGAACCAGCCCCCTAAAATAAAAGGATCAGCCAGACGCACGCCATTGCACCTCACAGTCTTTTTGCCAGATAACATGACCGCAAAGGTCTGAGAAATATGATTGAAAATACAGCACGGTTGCATCAGATCTTATGCAGCTGCCAAGCTGATTTGTATGTAATACGTACTGCGCAGAGAGTGGATGCATTGGAGTGGTTTTCGGAGCTGTAATGGACAGATCTATGAAGTATTTTCTGCGTCACTGTTTAGAGACAACACTTCAGGCATGAACAACCACCGATCATGACAAATTGTTTATTGAATTCCTACTTTTCAAACGGGCCTATGATGATATCCTGACGCTCTCGCATTGAGATGGGGCGTGTACTTCCTTCTGTGAATGAAGGCAAGGGCATATGCAACAACGGCTGATGGTCTCGTGTCGTATGTAAGGAACTGTTTTTGGCCACGATTTCGCTCCGCCTGCTGCGTATGCTCATGGCCCTGGTCCGGTGAATACAAATGAAAAGGTAGTTAGTTGAGATGTACCCTAACGTGAAGTTCATTGGATTTAGAACATACACAAGTTTTCTATTGATTTTACTGAAGTTGATAAGTAGTACGAATGAATCTCTTTAGTGTACATAGCAATCTAAATGATTATTAGGCTGTGCTGTGCTGTGGATAGAGAGTGCAGGCAGATAAGCCGTTGGAAATTGACGGATTTATTGCACTGGCCTGCGCTTGCGCTGGGTTGCCCGCAAGTAGATGACAGATACTATGGCCAAGTCAATCTGAATAAACACGATATCTTACAAGGTCCTAATGTGTGTGGTAGTCTTTCCATGCGAGCAAGTAACAGGTAAAGACTTTGAATTGGGTATCGGGCTGTGTCATTCGTAAAGTAATCGTTTGTAAGTAATGATGAATGTCGGCGGGCGGGAATATCACACTCTGCTGCTCTCATCTGATCGGTTAGCAATTAATAATCATCACTTGATTAGAGAAACGGATCGCCCAGAAGTCCTTGTTTTTATTCGGCCTATTCCTGCTTCAAGAATGCACTAATCAAACTCGCCGATTGGTTTATTTACTTTGTGGAAGGGTTTGGCGAGATGGTCTTGTTAGGAAACTTCCTGAATAAATCGGCCACATGATCCAGAGGCGCAGTCAAAAGCCCCATGGCAGTTTCGAAAGGCGGGTGTTCACCGGCGCTGGGGTGACTGCGAGAAGGAACGAAAGCCTTCGTTCGCCCAAAGCTCTTCGCTATCGACTCGGATTCGAACTCCCCTGCGTTGCGTAAGGCGGACTCCAGAGCAGGCAGGTCGCTCTGTTCCTCCTCCTTGATATGTTGAGAGAGTACAGACCAGAGTTCCTTCAGTTTTGGTAGGTAGTTCGGGTCCTGTGGCTTCAGATTCTGAAATACCTTGAGCAGCTCTTTGACCTTCAATAACTTTAGTACGTATTCATTTAAGGGCATGTCTAAAGATGGGACTATCTTACCTGGCGGTGCTCTTTCCGGTCGTTCTCGGCCATATCATGACCTTGCAAGCCCATGTGCTTCTCGAAAGCGGGATAGACGACGAGTTCCTCGCCAACCGAGTGGCGAGCCAACTCCCAGGTGAACTGATTACCGAATCTCTCCTGATGATCATGATCGCTGCTGTTGACCACCTCGTTGTAGTACTGCTCTAGCTCGCGATGGTCCTTGATAATTGCGTCCGAGATAGAAGTCATCTTAAGGGAACTGTTGCTGAAGATTCTTGCCCCATGCGTCCGAGGAATGTATCGTTGAGGATTCAACATTAACCTTCTCAGGCTGGCTGTACCAAGGCGAAGGGGAAACATAAGGTGAAACGTTTAAATTTGAGTGAAATGAGAATGCTGAGGATATAATTATAAAGACACAACTCAGAGTGAGCCTCGTAGATGACTCGGTATTGTCTTTTATAAATGGCTGCCTGAATCGAATTATGGCTTTTTTATGAGCAAATGGCTGCCATCGCGAGCGAACGGGCGCAGCGGCAGTCATCATCATCGCATCACCACACTATTCATGCCAAGCGTATCTTGTTAGAGCCTTCAGAACGAGCTTCTCTCTCTGATTGTTAAGCAAGATGGTCTGATTCGTTGATTGGCAAGCATGGGGCGGTATTGTTTCCGGATAGGCTGGTCAATGACCCAGGATTAAGTCACGAACCTGCACTAAATACGTCACCAATTTTCCGCTTTTTGGGTCGTTGCCTTTTGACGGTACTTGGAGAACTTTCCTCAAAGCTTTGCGTGTCAGTTTTTTTAAGCGACCTGCCCAAATTATGTGGCGACACGACCTCAATGCAGTCAAGCCATGTAGATGTCTTGCCGAGGGGAACTCTGGTGGCTAGAGGCTGTACTAGGCTCGATTGTAATAATTTTTAAATCTGTTCTTGGCCTGTTCTGGACGTGCCGGAGGGAAAGATCTAGCTGGAGAGGTTGTCTGGTTCTTCGTAAGGAGTAACGATCCCGGATATGAGGGGACATTCAGTTAAATGCTACTTTCTCCTGTTGATTGATCTACATTTCCCCTCTAGTTATCCCATGGGGGACTGACTGACTTTATTTTTGCCAAGGGAGGGATAAGCCAATCAGGGCTTCTAGGTCCAATATTTCTATCAAATCATATGCTGAGATTTACGATACATGTTCTTACTATAGATTTTGTGTATGCCAGAGGTACCAGTAATCCCTGTCGATACATAACGCTACATTACAATCCAAGTAGCCCTTTGACGGTTAGTCAGGGTGGCCAGCGGAATATGCATATGTGAGTGAGCAGAAAAGAGTGTCTTATTCTAAATAAAGAGTGGATGGGATCACCACAGGCCTGTGGGCCTAATGCTATCCTAATAAGTGTTACAGAGCTAGGGCCAGGTGGAAATGACAGGCTGGCCTGTTTAAGTACAGTCAGACCATTCTGGATGGGTTATGTCCATGACTCGCATAGAAGAATGCATGGATTCTGTCAGGGAGACCGGAAGGCCCGCAGCTGGAATCGAACCAGACCCCTTAGAAAAGGGGTTGCCAGACGCACGCCACTGCGCCATGCGGGCATTCGGGCAGTTGAGGACATGAGGCTTAATGGTTCCGAACTCCGACTCAATGAGGCCCTGGTTGAGCATGTCCATATTGGTAAGCGCACCCGGGTGTTGGAAGATTTGTTGCGTGAGGTCCATATAGGGGGGCGCCGCCTGCCTGGGCATGTTCCACTGCTGATAGGCGTTCATGGGCGGCGACTGGTTTTGTTGTTGGAACATGACGGCGGTCGGGTCGACGGGCGAGGCGACCGAGTCGACGTCGAATTCGGTGTAGCCCGTTGAGAAGCTTTGCGGCGACATGGTCATCGGGTTGTTGTGGCCGCCAAAGACAGCCTTGCGATAGTCGGCCTCAAACTCGGAGTGGTCGATCTCGGAGGAGCTGGCGCGGTCTGATCGTTCGCAACTGGAGGTCGACTCAGCCTCAACCTTCATCGCGTTCTCGACATCGCGTTCCTTTTGTTGCTCCTCCAGTTGGCGCGCCAACTCGGTCAGGCCGGCCTCGTCCTCAGGGAAGACTGAGTGTACCGGCAGGTCGATGTCGCTGTTGGGGCGAATGCATCCGAGCTTCTGAGCAATGTTGTGAATGGCGGGTTGCCCTCTGTCGTTGAGCTCGGGTTCGCCCAGGTCCCATTGTTGTTGCTTCCTGGCCATAGAGTAGAGCTTGTGGACGGTTGCGATGAGGGCGAACTGGGTGTGCTCTAGGACTTCGGCGTATCCCCTGGGGAGCTGCTTATATTCGGTCTTCTTACGGACGCCGGCGGTGCATACGAGGCCATCGTCCTTACACCTCTTACAGGGGAACTCTCCATCGCACTTTGTCTTCTTCATCCGACATCTTTCACAGGCCTTCCATACTCTTTTCTGGCGGCCATCAGCAGACATGCCTTGCGAGGCATGGTCGTGATGTTGCGTTGCGTCGTGAGGGCTGGCGCGCTTGGCGGTGTGGCGGTTGGGCTTGATGGACTTGGAGCTGGATGAGCTCTTCCTAGACTTTTGGTCCTCCAACGGAGGGGTGGGCAGGCCGCTTCCCATTGTGAATGATTAACAGTTGTGGTTGGTATGTGGACAGGGAGAGGAAGAAGGGGAGATAGGTTTGTGGCAATGTGGAAAGCGTTATTGGTGATGTAGACGGAGGGGCAAACTGCGTATAAGAGTGAGAAATGCAGATGGGTGCCGTGTAAGTAAGTCCCAGTCAAGGAAAGATAACCACAAAGGTAGAAAGGTCAGGATGACACAGCCCACAGTCCGCGGCGCTAGGGTCGACAGGGCGGGAAAGTCAGCACGACAAGGCACCGGAGGGGAGAGGGCGTTGGCAAATTATTAATGTGGAGCAGCAACGGGACCCGACGGGGAGTAGACGGGGTGCGTCTATTGTGCGCGCGCGAGATTATGTGATGCACAAATCAAAAGGGCCTCGGGAAGCTTTTTTTTTGGGGGGGGGGGGGGGGGGAGGGTTGATAGAGTTCGGGCGCTCGCAATGCTCCCAGTATGGCAGGGCGTGTGCGCTGCGGTACGTGAGTACGTACATGCAGGTAGGTAGGTTGTGGGAGGAGACTGCGTGGGTGCGGGTGCGGATACTGGCGCTGGTGCAGTGGTGCTAGGCTCTGGCTGCTTCTGGTGTGGATTCGCTGGCCAGGTCCGAGGTGCGCGGGCGGACCCAGTGAGTGAGTGAGTTGTGGTGGTTATGGAATGGGACGGGCCTGAATAGGGATCCCTAGTTCCGTTTTGTGCTCGATCGAGTACCGGTATGCGTGTGCGTGCGTGTCGCCGGTACGTAGACAAGTTGTGGGACCTGTCGTAGCAGCGCGCTAGCAGCCTTTTTGGTGAACTAGCCGCCTGGAAGATAAAGTCCGCAGCGGAGTTCGGAAGAGTGCGAGGAAAGGGATTGGCGTTTGATTTGCAAGCCGTTGTTGTGCTGCCAACGCGGCGGCAGGGTGTTGCTGACTGCAGAACGGACGTGTCTCAAGCGGATGGGCCCCTTTTCACTATTCGCCTGTGCCTACCTGTTGATGACCAAAGTCCTATGGTTGCTTGTGGGAGGGTAAACGCGAGAGATGATGATGCTAATGATGAGGGGGAGGATGTGGGTTTGTTACACACACACACACAAAAACCGAGTCTCCCCCTGCCAAGCTGATGTCCATTCCATGTGTGCAGCCGACGGAGTTGACTCCGAAATCACGCGAGCTAGCTACCCCTGTCCACACGGAAGGAGGTCACTATTGGACCGAAGCTCGGAAGCCTTCCGGTGTTCCCGGCCAATCAATCTCTTCCGGCTCCACACTGTTCTGCCCACTATTGCCTGTGTGCCGTCGCGCGACAGACTAAGAGAGGTTGTTAGCATACTGTCAGACCTGGACATTGCATATCCGAGTCGTGCATTCAACCCATGCTCGATTCCCTATTGCAATAAGGGATATAGGCATCATGGCCTTGAAACCTTGTTCTGTTTATTGTTTAAGGTTAGAAAGACGTGTCAACAACAACAACACCTCACTCGCTTAGCAGGAATAAGCCAATATGCACATTACTGCTGGCTGCCAAGCTGTCGCCTGACACATACTATGAGTTAGTGCGATTTTGGTGAGCACCAGCCAATTAGTGACACACAATGCGCGGAGGTAAGCTCCCCTCAGTCCGCGCCATTCATTTGGCTAAGTGACAGAATCCATGCATGCTTCTATGCGAGTCATAGACGTAACCCATCCAGAATGGTCTGACTGTACTTAAACAGGCTAGCCTGTTATTTCTACCTAGCTCTAGCTCTGTAAGACTATATAGGATAGCATTAGGTCCACAAGCCTGTGGTGATCCCATCCACTCTTTAGTACGAATAAGACACTCTTTTCTGCTCACTCAAATATGCATATTCCGCTGGCCACCCTGACTAACCGTCACTAAGCCTAATTCAACCGCATGAAACGGGAAACGTCTGTCAATAATAGCGTGATTGTGCTCGTCAGTCAATAACCAACACAAGATGATTGGAGGAGGTCCTCCGGTGCCACGTCGCTTTTTGCTTGGCTGACGAAAGTATCACGTCCTTCCTATCCCATCGACAAGCTTTCGGGGAACCGTCCACAAGTGCGGAATCAAAAGCGGAAGATTAGTGACGCTGTTAGCGCAGGTTCATGATTTAATTGCGTGATTGGCCACCTGATCTGGCAGTAGTACAATCGAATAGTACTGTGATGCGGTCAGGATGACGGTTGTTGCGCACAGTTGTATTACCTGTTATCTCGGACGCGATTGTTAAGGATCATCGCGAGCTAGAGCAGTACTACAACGAGATAGTCAACAGCAACGATGATGGTCATCAGGAGAAGTTTGGTACTCAGTTCACCTGGGAGTTGGCAGCACAGCCGACTTCAAGATCTTCCGGAAGCAGCTCAACAACGACAAATCTCTGTGCGGAGGTGCCGGAGGCCGCGGAGGCGTCGGAAGCATCAGAATCATCGGTGGACATGGCGGCATTGAATTAAGATGATATTTTAGTAATTACAGCAGGTAAAATAACATAGGGGCAAATGATGTTTCGCCAGGTACCAATTGAAAAGAGGAGTACAAATGAGTCTAATGTGGATAATTTAGGCCTTGGTAAAAATCGGGCTCTATTTCAAGGCTTTACACGTCAAGCCCGTAAGCGAATTGGCTTAATTGTGCGGCGGCCCGATCTCGATGCAGCGCGAGCCCATACAAGTTGCATGTCTAGGAGTGACGGTCGCAGGGGTTGTGGTCGCCTCAACTTAGGAATACTGCCGGTACAAAACACGATAACTACACCACATGTTGTAATAAACACTTGGGCATCTTGTCAGAAGCAGTGTGGTAGAGACTGCATTGCCACGTCTAGCTAAGCTAAATATGAAACTCGTCGATATCTGGAATGTGTTCAAGGCATGAGCCTAACCACCACTAAAATATGAAACTACGGAAACTTCGTAGGTGTAAGTTGTAACAAAACCTCATATTCGTCCTCGAGGTATGCCACCCATTGCATTGTTCCATCGACTGCCAGCTTATGTCAAAAACCCGAACCACTTTAATACCCATCTTTATTCTAAAAACTAAAACACTGTTTCCTGAGTTTTTGATCAAGTTAAATCACCAGGCCATGAATTTGTCAAATTCTTGACGTGAGTTGGCGGTCGATCTTGAGCATCTACACTCGACAACAGCATTATTATCTGGTCCCCATAATGGGGTTCATATCTTTGATGGAATTCTCTTTGGCCGAGAGGAAATGTGTGATCAGTTGTGAAGGGGGTCCCCTGACAGGCGAAGGATTGCTCCGTGTTGGTGCTAGAAACATCGTACGTCGGAACTGTTCCGCCAAATCCTCGGACTCGGTGATACTGAGACACTCCTCGAGACGAGCTACGTCTTGATGGTCAGTGTCGTGGATGTGTGGTGCCAGATCTACCCAAAGGGCCTTCAACTCTGACTCGAGGTTTGGGTCGGTGACGTGTATAACTTTGAGCCGACATATCTTTTCTTTCAACTGTCTCGAGTCAGCGTTAATGTTAAGGACAGATAGCACGGCCACTTACACTATGTCGGTCGGTGCAATTCTTCGTAGTCCGAAATTCGCTATCTGCCAATCTGTCTCTCAGAATCGGTAGCAGTACTTGCTCTTCGCTGATGCAGTGGCGGGCAAGTTCAAGAGCGAGCTCATCTCTCCAGTGAGCCCTATCTTCCGGTGTTGTAGATATTAGCGTGTATCGGTAGGCTTGCTCGATTTTTCGGTGATCGTCTTTAATAACATCACAAAGTCTCGGCATTGTGCTAGAGGGTAGTTAAGAGAGTATATATGGTTGAGTGCTTGGGAACGGGAAAGCCAAAGCTCTCTACGGATTTGATGCAAGTGAATACACCGGAAAATTTCGTGTTTCAGTGAATTTGGTGTAATGTATTGCAACTTCTTATACTTGAAGCCAGGAAGATGATTATGGTAAGGAAGGTTCTGGAAGAAGAGCTTGAGCGAGCTGGAGCTACGGATCTTAATACAAGTAAAA